GGCCTATAGTTACCCGGGTCCTCCCTCTTCCCCTTCTTGAAGATGGGGACCACATTTGCTACCTTCCAATCATCTGGCACCTGGCCCAAGCACCACGATCGCTCATAGAGCCGTGCCAGGGGCCCCGCAATAACCCCAGCTAGCTCCCTCAACACCCTTACTATGGTGTAAAACAGAATAAGGCTTTACTACCCAACAACTGCCCATGGGCATGCTCTTATATGAAGGTCACTAGTTTAGCTCCACTTACCATGGGGTAAGTTGGTTCTATGTCCATACCCTTAGACCAGCACTTCTTCACATGAAGTCAATCCTGTATGGCATATTTAGCACTCGCACTATCTCCCTCGCACCAAAGCCATTTGAAACCTCAAAGTCCTTTCAACTTTGTCCGCAAAAACTCTTGCCCCTAGAACTGCACTCTAATACCCTTGTTTAGTCCATTAATTGTGGCTTCTTTTCTGCTGCAGTAGACTGTGATTGACTTAGCCCTTCTCTGAATACATCTAATTCACAAGGCAGCATGGGAAGGGATCTTATTTTTTTCACAGAGGGGTATCAAATCACACACACACACACAATACTGTGTGTGATTGGATCCGATTCCAAGAACCAGTTTACAGAAGGGCAGCAGGCTGGGCCGACCCAAGACATTATTTCAACGGACTAAATCTGAAAAAAGATCATATTTGTATATTGTGTTGTAGTGTCAATGTTCATTATCCTCAATGCTGTTTCCTAAATCCCTGGTATACCTCAGTATAAATTAAGAAATATATTGTCCTATTTACTATATTTTCTTGGATTTAGTGCCTTCTTTCCCATTGGCATGTTAAATGGTAAGGACTATTTGTAGAGTATGTATCAGGTAAACCAGGGGTTGTCAACCAGAGGTACTTGAGAAGGCCCTAGGGGGTATGTGTGGGCAGACGGGGACAAAGTACCGACACGCACCATCCTGTGCTTGATGCGCCCAGCCAGACGCAGGGAAGGCGGGAAGCTGGCATGCGGTGGCTAGTGCCGCTCTGTGTCCGGCTGCGTGGCATCCCCCACCCCACGTCCGGCCACCGGGGGTACCCTGACCCAAAATGGTTGAAAACCCCAGAGGTAGACTATAGATTACTACTGAATACTGTAGTCATAAAAGATAACCTAAAATAATAAAAAAAGACCAATGATGCTCTCTAATGACAAAGCAGTAAGTCATTCATAATCTAAAAATATTTTTCCTGGGAGTTTACACAGCTTCAAAGTCAAGAGTATTCAACTGACACTGAGATGGATAAACTAAATTGTCATTACGGCATTCAAGGATACTAAATAGCCAGAATAGTGACTTTGTAATTTATTCTCCTTCACTTTTATGTCCTTCTCTGTAACCAAGTACAATTCTGTATCTTGTAGTATCACATGGCTTAGTCACATTATAAGGTGTACAAGCTGGCTAAAGGTGTACAAAGGTGGCCATTCCAGTAAACACATACAACTTCCTTCATGCAAATGATTCCACTGACCAAATCCCATAGGCACTAAGAGTATTATGCACTATTTCAGTATTAGATAAAATTCACAAGTCACACATTACCTCTCGTCCAACATAGGAGCTATTGCTTTCAAACACAATGGCAGTATAATGATGATTATTCTTGTCAAAAAGAGTAGCAATATCACTGGACCTGTTGAGAGAAGAAAAAGTAATTTAGCACAAAATACACGTCATGTACTCATCAACTTTAATATAGAACCTCTTTCCTCTAGACCAGTGGTTCTCAACCTTTTTAGACTTTCCAGACCCGACACTCCTTGGCACCCCTCAGAAAATGCCAGCTCTTAGTTGTCACGTGGTTTTTTTTTTTACTACAGAAAAATAACAGAGCAATTCTTCTGTTGCAAAGAACTTGGAAAGACCGCAGCAGATCAGAATGTTTTTAATGCTACAGATGCCTATCTGAAATCTAATAAAGGATATCAGATTTACCCAAAGAACCTCATCTAGCTGAAATCTGTAGTTTTATCACATGAATCATGTCTGCATAACTAACAGTGCTAACAATGCGTGGCACCCTTGAAAAAAGATCAAGGCACCCCAGGGTTTTGTGGCATCCTGGTTCAGAATCACTGCTCTAGGCATGTTAGGCAGATATAGCCAAACATTTTTTATCCTTAGATGCATTCCCTATGCCTTATTTGGATTAGCAAAATACATGTGTAGTGTTTTCTATTAAAACAAAATCCTTACGGAACTGGATCAAGTGGGGGGCAAGCAGGTGGCCTTGATTCTTGGGAGTGGTTCTGCAGAAAATCAATCATCATCTGACGAACTGTTTGCAACTCACGATCTGACCCTGCTAAAAATAGATGGAAAAAAAAAAAAAAAAAGACTACTCACACTAAAGAAAGAAAAAAAAAATCCACCTTAAAACATCAATTTCTCATTCTCTTGGTCTGTAACTTATGCTAAAAAGCTAGGTGACCATGTCTGGCTTAGTTCACAACTTCTTTGGAGAAGGTCATTTATTGGGCAAATAGGTTTCCTGTGAGTATGCTCAAATGGTTTCCCCAAGAGCTCAAACAAAATATAATATGTTTAACTCAAAGAAGCTGATCTGACTCACCAGTTCCAGCCTCAATGAAGTGCCATTTTGCTTCATTCAGGGCCTGGGTTCATATTTAAACAATACTGACAGTGGAAAGTGTTTGAGTAGCTTTTCTACAACGTTCAGTAACAAAAACCAGGGCACCCAGGTTTACGGCGCACATTGAAAATTCAAGATGCTGGCACAATCCTCCTAGCAATTAGCCTGAGTAAAATAACAGCCAGCAGTATACAGAAATACTTTTAAGAACTGCTCAGGCTTAAAAACCAGATTCCTTCCACTTTTTTGTAAGTGAAAATAAATAAGACATCCATCAAATCCTAAGAAACAACAGGTGCAACTGCAATCAAATGCAACAAGAGGGGCAAGGGGTGCAGGTAGTCTCTTTTCTGACCTCTGGCCTTCTAAATGTTAATCCAGTTGAAAAGACAATGGAGCTATAGCACCTCAAGCTGTGATCCTGTCAAACCCACGAGATAAGCTGGGCTGCGCTAGATCAGCACTTGAACAAGGATCTCCAGTGAATGCCAGGAGGCTAGAGCAATTAGCCTTGGTAAATCAGAAGACAGCAAATTTCTATCCAAGTCCAGGCTGGACTAATGTTTCAACAAGGACACAATGCTGCTGAAAGATGCTGGTATTTTTTAGAATACTATTTTAAAAGACTGATGTGGCCAGCTGTGGAAATTAAGGCAACTACATACAGCACTTTAAGAGAGCAGGAAAGTTTAACCTCATGTCCTAAGCAACATCAGCTCTGCTAATTAGCTTTATATACCTAGAGATATATGAATTTCATTAATGGGTAAGGAATTCTTGTTAATTGTATAACACTCTGCTGCATCATAGGATAAATGCTTTTGAGACTGGTTAGAAAGACATATTCTTACCTTTATAATTTTCTCCCGTTGTGAACTGCTTCGTAAAGGCTTTGAAGTACTGTGGGGAGAAGAGTATTCCTTTAAAGACAATTCATTGCTCAAGAGGACAAAAAAAGAGTAAATCTCAAGGCAACTCAGTTCAGAGGCAAAACTTGATTATCTTGAGTGCATGCTTTCTACAGTCTTAATTCACAAAATATTGTTCCGGAGCTGACACAAACACAACCTACAACTCGAGAGCCTGATCCACAAATGGTATGGGTGCAATAGGTGGCAATATTACACCAAAAGAGAGTCTAACCAATTGACCCTTAAATCAAAATTCTTATTAGTCTGATGTTTCTGTCATTTAACAAACTTATAACAAAACACCCCATGGACTCTGCAGAAGATGCATTTTGAAGATGAACTTTTCATAAATTCCACTCAAGTCCCTGGGACCACAGGCAGGTTCAGGATCTTAGATGCCGATTTAAATTCATGATTAGACATGCTAAAACTATGCTCCTACCCTGAACTCCCTCTAGTGGTAAAAACAAAAGTAATAGAGTAACAAAGTAACAAATGCAGCAAAAAGCTGCTGTGTATTAAAAAATGTTAAAAACTGAAACAGTGTTTTGGTAAGGAATGCATCAGGTTTGAGCCTCACAAATCAAATTTCTAGGATCTGATGAAGTCAGTTGTAGCCACTGAAATCTCATGCTTCTCTGAATGAGTTAGTCTATAAGATGCCAGCCTGCCCAGATTTCTGCCTAAAAATAAACTATTGTTTGCTGCATCTGAGAAAAGCAAACAGTTTCTAAAGTGAAACGCCCTCCTTCCTCCCCCCTGCCCCATCTCATACCAAACTTTTGTTGCTTGGATGCACTCATTTAACTCTCACCTATGAATTATAAAAAAAGACTGCACAGTAGGAAATGCCAGTAACATTGTCAAAACAGAAGTTGAATTTTCTTTTTCAGATACAAGATTTCTGTTTTGTACACTGCTCTCCATTCTCCTGACAAACATAATGAAGCATTTTCAATTCAGCTTAGGTGAGCTGCCAACTGAAGAGTGATATGAGGCCAGCAAAGGACTGATGCAAAATTTAAAAGGCTAGCTTCAACACAGACACTTGTGCAATCAGCTACTAGATTCCAGCTTTGTCCCTGATCTCTCAGCTTCAAATAACTGGATTTACTTTCATACATCAAATGGAGATAAAACATACACAACTACCAATATTGTTTAACATTTGAATATAGTATAGTATATAAAAAACCTGACATTAACAAATATATTGCATCCAGGTGCTGCAGCAATGGGAGACAAATGTCTGTAATAATATACTGCTTCCTGTTGCCATGCCTCTTCTCAGAATTTTTCAAATCCACTGTTTTTGGACAATCACTAACCTAGATTGCATCAGCTATTTCATTTTACTGACTAAGCCTGAAAGCACATTTTATCAGCATCTCAGGTTTCCCTGCAAAAGAAAAAATCAGTCTAACACAAAATAAGCAGCAACGTGCAACATTCCCGATTAATACATTTGCTGTTTTAGTCATGAGCAGAAGGTTTTGCTACCCTAGATCAGAGTACACAGAACAACACAAAACATTTAGGCTTTGAACAAGTATTTTTCATACATGGGAATAAGCATCAGTTGTCTAATCGGGTTTATTGTGCCACTTACCCTAAAGGTTGGATAGTAGTAAATACCATATTCTTTACAAGTCTCATAATTGTCTTCTTCCCCACAATCCAGCACACCAATTCTAATGGCAGGTTCCCAGTCTGAAAATAAAGAGCAGCTTTTCATACTGGTGCATAAGTTATCAGGAATCTAATCTTAGAGACTGCTTCTAAGCCTTTAAATCCAATAGCAAAACTCTCAGACTTAGCAGTGTAGTATCACACCCTGTTTGTCTCATGGGTCCTGCATTTGAACCCTCAACAGGATTTGGATCTACTAAACTTGAAGACTGTTGAACACTTAATTTAGTACACTGGAGAGAAATATTTCTATTAAATCTGAAGAAAAAGAAACCTCAAAGTGACACACATGCCTTATCAAGGCTAAAGGCACGTATTCAGTACAGGTGGATGAAATAAAGGACTACACATTACTTTAACAAGTATTCCAGTCAAGTAAGTTAGTTAAGTTACACTTATTTAGCAGGTCAGTTTTATAAGATGAACATAGTGTTTACACATCCCCATGCCTTCCGATGACAGGATTATATAGGATGATGCATCTTCCATCATAGCTGATGGCAACATGGACCTGCCTTTTGCTGAACTTGCAATTTTTTCTGACTTACAAAATGCACAATCCCTAATTAAACCCACAAAGCTTATATTTTGATTAATGAAAGCAGTCCTAAGTGTAATTGCTGTCCAGACACATGTTGGATGCATCTGTAAGATATCTGAGCAAATACAGTATTATGGAGATTAATTGGGGTATAGCTTAAAGTTTTATGAAGCATTTTATCAAAAAACCCATCAAATTGTTTAAAGTGATAAATTGTGTAGAATATTTTAAACAAAAGATTCTAGTGAAAACCTGGATGTATTTAACAGGTTTTCTTTTTGCTTCTAACCAATAATTTAAAATTGTGCTGAATGACAGGCTGCCAATACATATTTAAATATATTGAGGCATGTGAACACTATATAGAAAATATTCAGTAGTTAAAAGAAAATAAAACCACCCAAAACTCATCCAACTAATTCTGCTACACTTTTCAGCAACCTTCCTTCCTGGTCTGTGCAGAAGATTTGTTAAGAGGAGAAAGTTAAACGCTCATCCACAACTCGAACAGGGATGTTCAAGAAACAGCCACAACTACAGACGTCCTCTAGTCTAGGAGGAAAGTTCAAAAGTGAGCCCTCACCACTAAAAATCTCTCATCTAATGTTAGCTCACATCACTTTGCTGTACCATCCATTTAATCCTTTTTAACAGTCCTTAAATAAACTTGAGCACTTTATGCGGGAGGCCATCAATAGGAAACCTGGAATTCGGAGAAGCATTCAACAGCTTAGATGCCTTTCTGGCCTAATTAAATTGGGAATCTCATAGGAACTGCTTGTTTTGCAGTATTTGATACATGTCCTCCTAAGACTGAGAAGAGCATGTGGACAGAGACAGAGGGAAGCCAAGTTAAACTTCATAGGATCATAGACAATGAGCGTTAAAGGGACCTCAGGAGGTCCTGTCTAGTCCAACCCCCTGCTCAAAACAGGACCAGCCCCAAATACATCATCTCAGCCAAGGCTTTGTATACCTGGGTCTTAAAAAGCTCCAAGGGTAGAGAACCCACCACCTCTCTGGGTGACCTGTCCCAGTGCTTTACTACCCTCCTAAGAAGAAAGTTTTCCTAATATCCAACCTGAACTTCCCTTGCTGCAACTTGAAGCCATTGCTCCTTGTTCTGTTATCTGCCCCCACTAAGAACTTCTTTAAAAAATACTGGAATAAAGCTCTGGATGAAAATTTTGGAAAAGAAAGATGTTACCTGAACTAAGTCATTCAGCCCTAATATTCATATTCTGTGACAACAAAACAAAAAGAGGCAATGAAAATGAACGTTAAATAAAAGACTTCTGGAATCTAAATGCTATACTACTGTTGAAGTTTGTGCAATGGGTATTTGTAATTACTTAGACCAGAAGAGATACATTCATGCTCTCTAGGAATTCATAACAAATGAAAATAAAATTGAGGCAAAAAATTCAGGGACTGTTAAGACGCAGCAAAATGGCTGAAGCATGACCAAAATAATTGTGCATTTGGTATTTTTCTTAACACAAAACTTCTTTACACAAATGATAAGTGTCATTGGTAGAGGACTACTCAGAGCTCTATCACACTTCCCAGCAGGACTTGATTACAATTAACTCCATTCCATTTTTACTTGGATCATGGATGTCTGTTAGTAGAATAAAAGTAAATATTGTTTTGCAGGCCTCAAGCTGGATTGTTCCTGAGGCTCTTACACAATACTGAAAAGTCAATGTTTGCTGTCCTCATGATGACAGAGAGACTCTTAAGATAGCATTTTCCGTTTAGTGCGTAAAAGTCATAAGGTTAGGAAATGGTCTAAACAGCTGGTCTGTCTTCAGTTTATTTCTAGAAAGAAGCTGTTGCTGTGATTCCTTGTATGATTAAATCCAGGCTAATTTTCAGTACTCTGCACCAAAGGTACAGTACAGCTTGCATAATGTGGAATCAAGTACATGTCAACATGCTTCTAGTATTTCTACCAAGAACACCTAGTCTTTTCTATTTGGGAAAAAAAATCAGTGTACAACTGAGATAAAACAGAGGGAAGAGATTTTGTCCTGAGATGCCAACTGCTGGATAGAACCCACTGCCAACCCCACAACACACTTACAGACTGTCCTGCAGCTCTGGCATTGCACTTGGAGTTGGAAAGGGAAGGGGCAGTGAAATCCATGGTACGTTTTCCATGGCCCTGCAGATCACGGTTTGGCAAGCGCTGATATAAAGGTCAAGTTCTCGGCCTCCTTTATTCCTGACTTCCAACATACAGATCCATTATCCACGCCTTCTCTGCTCCCTTCCTTTAAAACAAAAAACTTACGCTGACCTAGAACAGCTGATATTTTCCACATCTAAGGTTCAATATTTTCAGTGTGACAACATGCTTGCTGAGCTGTTCTATTAGGATATTATTTCAAGAGCTGTTTCTATTAGGATACAGCACTTGTCTTATGATTTTGAAGACAGATCTTTTTCATCTACGAATAAATCAAGAATGTTTTTATTTTCATGACAAAGCATAACACGATGTGAAGGTCAAAAAAAGAGAAAAGTTTGAAGCGTCTGCCTTATGAGCAGTAAGCAAACCCGTAGTGATAGTTCATGTGTTTTGCAATCAATGTAACTCAATTAGCTTCAGTAGGTAATTTTAAATCTCAATAAGGAAAGATACACTCTAAAGTGAAATCAAAGACCACATCTTTCTCAATTCTCATATTGCATACACCTAACCTAGCACAGTTAATAGCTTTGTGCAATTGGCATAACAGATGGTTAAGAGTACACTTAAGTAAAAATACATTAATAGGTTTTCAACATGAAGTTTCTCAGCCCACAAATGTGCTTGTGATAACATCTAAAGCAGTTTCAGGCACATGCAGTTGTGCAAAGCCTGGTGAGCACAACAGACGTGGCCTGGTCACTTCAGTTTTCAGAAACTGCTGTAGGAATTGAATGCAGAACTGTGTATGGCAGTGTCTGTTAGCACTACTGCTAACCTCCTCCAAAAAAATTCTGCCTACCTTTTACAGAGGAACTGTGCTTCTATAATCATGCTAGCAAGTAGCTTTCAAATAGGGCCCTGAGGAAACCCTTTCTGATGCTTGACCACTATGTCTAAAAACACTACTGTGGCTGGTGGGGGGGGATGTAGAAAGGGCCTTAATTTGCACTTGGATATGTACGAATATAAGAGGCCTTTCCTCTTCCCCTCCTCCCCCCAGTTTCTCCTGACTGCAGCTCAGGTAAGGAGGAACTACTTCCACGGCACTCCCAGGGAGTCACTTTAAAGCACTAAAGAGCTTTGGCAGAAGTTGAAGATGTATCAGGATTACTGAAATCTCTTTGGAAGATGATTTCTTTTATCAGTTCTTGCAAATCAACAAACTCCTTTAAATTTCATACCCATTAGGGCTGGAAAGGACCTTGTAGGATCATCTGGTCCAGCCCCAGTTAAAACAAGTTAATACTAAACTTGCCTCTGTGCTCTGCGTCAAAGAACATAAACATTTCATCAAGTTCAAAACTCAACTGACATTTCTATGCTGGGCTTCTTTTGAATGGTAGCTCCACCTTTGTCTTTCTTTGAAGGAAGGATGGAGCAGCTGATTGAGAATTTCAGTTGTGCTGAAGATGCCAACAGCTGAACAGGCACCAGTGGTAACTATAAGCATCCTTGAGCAGATGGACACGTATTCACACGAACACAAAAGACACAACAGTCCATTTTATCAATGCAAAATAAAAAAAAGTTTGGCTTCAGGGTATCTGTCTCATTCAACTTTCACTACTCCTCCTCCCTTTTCCACCTGTCTTCATCCCCCACCACACAAAGAACAGAAGCACTATAAACCTAATGCAAATAGCCTACTTTGCAACAATGCCAGCCCATCTCTAGCTAAACACTTGGGTTAAAGAGCACCAGCTGGGATGCGTGTTGCTTAGCACTCCTCTTTAAAAAGCAGCCTTTAGTTTTCTAAGGGATGTGAAAGCCCTGCTTCTGTTCACCACTATAACGCATTGCCTAGACTGTTTATATGTACAGTGGCATCAACCCGAGGCATTTTAAGACATGACAGAACATAAGACAGTAAAATGACAGAATATTAAATTTTTTTCAGTAATACTTCTGTCATTTTAAAGCCTAAATAGAGCTCAGTAACAGTGGGATAAGAACAAGTACCAGGATTTTCTACTACTGCATTATTAAAGAGTCAAACACATTCATGTACCAATATTTCACAGGTCAACTTTCATCCAGTACTTTCAAAGCAGAAGCAATATTTTGCTATGCATATATAGGTACTGGAAATTGTTCCAAAAATACAGGTTAGAGTAACAGATGGTTAAATGTTTGGGTAAAACAATCAATGAACAAATTATATTTGAAGCTGTCAGTACATCACAAAATGCATGCAAGAGGAAAACCAATACAATTTTAATTAAATCAAGACAGCTAATTACTATTACTTATGCTGAACCATTTTCCAGCCAAACTGATCATCTTCCTCTGTTTCAATATTTTGAATTGATCTACAAACTGTAAA